ATGTGGTAACAATCGAAATATCGAGAGAATCGATTGATATTATTTACACACGTTTTTTCTGATGGGATTTGTTTAATATTGCGAGAATTAAAATCAACACACGTGGGAGATTAAAAAAAATGCGATACCGCGCTTGTGTTTTTGTTCGCAATTGTTATTATTATTTATGTCACGACGAAACGATGCTTGCCGGCTGCAGATACGGTAGACGAGAATATTGTTGTCTATACAATAATACGTCTTAGGCTAATATTACATTTGTCTTACGACAACAATTTTAATTATGTTGATTGCTTATCAGATAGAATTTTATAAAGAACTCTATTTGTGGTAGCCAATCACAATATATTTAAAATCTCTGTCGCACGACAATTGTAATACCACAGCCTTATGCATCGAGCGACATCTCGAGATCGCGTCTCTAATAACAATCTAACATCCAGATTCGTCGGTAAAATAACACGCGCAAAATTAAAACAAATTACTTTACTTGGAAATCGCAATAGTGTTCGTTACTTTCATACGTACCGATAGTTTCCATGTAAAAATACAGTCGACACAATTCTTGTACATTTGGTTATACAAACGGAGATCTCTCTGAACAAAAGTAAATAATTAAAAGAACGAGACAATTAAAAGCAGAAGTAAACAAAATTGTGACAAAATCGCGTACGTACGTACTCGGTACACATTCGCATGATTCGACGTTGCGAAACTCCCTAGTGGAAAAGTCTCATCATCCCTCCACCTGTCGCTCCATCTGCAGTTCTCTACGACGAACGTTTCGCGCTGTACGCGCGCGTTGTTGTTCCGGCGGTGAAGCTGCGCGCGAGAGAACGGGAGAGAGACACGGTCGTGTTTTAATCGTAGGACTCGCGTGTGAAAGGCGGGGCGCGGACGGACGGCCTTCGGCAAAGATGTGGTAAGTCGATTTTTTTGTCGCGGCGCCGGTGCCTCAATCGGCAGACGATCAGCTGATCGCTCGACCGGCGTCCAGGCGCTTGTGTTTACAAACACAAGCGTAGGCGTACATAACCTTCAAATTACGAAGACGCGGTCGATTTGTGTGTTGAAATTTTTTGACACAAGCACGCGACGCGTTTTGATTGTCCGCTTTCTCGTGTTCGGTGTGAGATAATCATCGTTAATTAATCTCGCGCTGACGATGACGAGAATTTCGCGAAGACCCATCGACCGATCAAACCTTGTTTCGTTACAACGACGTTTTCTCCCGTTGCAGATGCACCCGACGGGCAATGGCACGATGGTCGACGGTGCTGTCCGGGGCGTTCTTGGCTCTTTCCATGGTCCTCTCCCTGGGAAAGCTGTTGATGCTTGCCGCGGGGACCGGAAGCAATGGGGACCTCACGGAAGCGGAACAGTGGCTTACAGAGATCGGCCTCGCGCAGTATCGCTCCTTGTTTAGAAAGAAAGGTAAGATATATATATATACATATATATATATGCGTACTCTGTTATCGCTGTCATTATCAGATTGTTGATAACGATTTCGTCGCGATGTTTTAATTGGCAAAATGCAATTACGCGGCACTCGCGCGCGTTGAGACTCTGCGAGTCTTCAACGTTGTCGGAAAAAAATCTCTGGGAATTTAATTTAATTAATAATAGACTTAATTATTGCACGACTAATTGTCGCGTCTTATTTAACGCACGAAGTAAGCGCTGAATTGTTGGCGCGGACAGTAGAAGAGATTTTGGCTGTTAATTAACTCAGCTTTTATCTATTACAAAATCATGGTTGGTATATTCAAGCAATAAGACGATAATTCCTTTTGAGAGATGTTTATCAAACTTCTGTACCCTAATACGGAGCAAAAGTCTGTAACAAATCCGCACGCGTAACGTCTCGAAATAGAAACGAAACATCGCAGCATAGGCCGTGTTGCGCAGTAATTCGCAACCGAGTTGTCTAATGAAAACCGGCGCGTTAGCACGTCGAGCACGTCTCTGTGTGTCGTCACGTTCGACATAAATTAATAAAATTTATTAGCGATTCTCCATCGAACGCGCAAACCTAACCGCCGCACTCGCGTGATCGCCCCACTAGATCGCGACGTAGTTTTTTACGCAAATTTTCGCAGTGGAAAAACGCAACGAATAAAAATTCAAAATTCTCAAAAAAAAAAACGTTTCTTCTCACGCGCGTTTCTCGCGCGCGCGGCAACAAGAAGATTGCATTATGCATTATTACAGATATATTATTGCGGAGAATGATACATCGTGTAATTCAAGTTGAGAGAGAGAGAGGAACCGCCACGTAATTCTCATGGCAATATGCCACGCGCGTCGCCTACATTAATCAAGCAACGTGCGCGATCTCTCCATTAGCATCTGATATGGTAAATGCGCTGTCATCTTTGAAATGAATTTCTTTTTTTTTTTTTTTT